AAATAAGACAGACACAATTTAAATTTATTTATAATAAACCATAAACCATAACTTTATTCTCACCCACAAAAAAGGAAAGAAAAAAGAAAATCTAGCAACACAACAAATCGAGCAACACAATCACAACCTGATAGCAAACAGAAATATCTCATTAAAAAGCTGTCAACTCCTTCACGATGAAGCGCTTCACTTTGTGTTGTTTCAAGCAGCTTCTCACACTTTTGGCCACAGGATGGAGCTAAAGAGAACTGTGTTGRAAAGCTTCSAGTGATGAACCCTTTTTCAAAGCAAGCTTCAGTGCTTCWGAAAAGCCTCATTTGCTCATCACTACCAACAGTGCAGATGGTGAACGTGGTGAACTTACTCTTAAGCAGTGCGTGCAACAACAACAAAACTTGGTCCAAATTGCGATGATGCATCAGGATGGACCAAACGTGGAGTGAGCCTTAAAAAAGGATCAGAGCTAATCAGCAGAACCCACTCACTGCTGTCATCAATGAGGCACATGGAGCTGAGGAAAAAGCACCAATCATGTCAATTCCAGTTTCCTCTCACAGACCAAAAGCCTGCACCTTAKTTTCACAGATACACACTGTAAATCTCAAATAAATGCTTTGTAAATGTAATTATTTTGAACAAAATCATGTTCAAGTCTGAGTGTTTTCAACAGCCTTTGAAAGTGAGCCAGTCTGTCGGGAACTCCCGGGCCACTTTTTCTCCCCACTCTGCCCCTGAATAGGGGTGTGCCCATGATACTTTTTCACTTCCGATATGATACCGTTATTGCCAATGGCCCCCTGGCCCCCCATTCTGGTGCCGGTGTCTGTGACCCCACARAAAACTTGTGCATGACAATTTTGCACTTAGCTTACACTCTGCTTTTGATGAAAATAGAAAGTACTGTTGACATCACTCCTACTTCCTGCTTCTTTGTTATCGCAGCATGTTGTGATCACGTGGGCTCTGCATGCTGGATCCAAGCGCTGCAGGATAGAAATGCTGGAGCGGACTGATGGAACGGACGGACTGCTTCTATCAGAGTGTTTATTTATCAGAGRTTTTAGATGCAGGCCAATAAAATGTGATAGTTGGTTTTTGCCTGATACCATACCGATATGCGATATCAGTATCGGATCGGGACACCCCTAGTATTTAACATAGCTAACCAGTGAAATAACTAAATGACAACTCGTACAGAATAAAATTTAGGTTAAACATTTGTTGAAGTTCAGGTCAGAAATCAACCCTCTATGTTATGCAACCCCCGATTTTTTGTTTTTATTTTTTTCAAACATCCATCCTTCTTTATCCGGAATCTCCTCTCCACTGCAGCTGATCTTATCAGTGTTCTTGTTTTCCCCACAGCCGATCGACAGTCCGCTTCTCAGCCGCCCCGGTCAGATCGTGTGTGACTAAAACTGACTTTTTGCTTGGAGGATTGTGTGTCTAAGAGTGTGTGTGGGTTTGTTTTAGTTTATTGTGAGGACCTACTGTCGACCAAATGTCTTTTTTTTTTACTAGTGTAGTTTATGCTAACACAGATTGTTTTTGACGTCCGTCATGGCCAAGTGGGTGGTCTTTTGGGGTGCGTGACGTCACATGCAAAGGGTCAGTATCAGAAACTGACACTGCTTGGACCCCACTTGGTGGCACACCAGTTTTTTCCTTCTTTACAATCTTTATTGTTGAAAAAACCTGATATAATGCTTCATTATAAGTTTCAGATAGTTGAAGTCTGAAACTTACTCCTCTGTTTAAAGTTGATTTCCGGTATTTGACATTAATGTTTGTCTTCACCCTACCCTCAGTCCATCTGTTTTCTTTTTCAAAATATGAAGAAGACAGATGCTTAACTCTTAGTTTTGTTTCCACCATCATCATGTCTCCAAATTCAACATCAGTTTTCCATTTTATTAGATTTAAAACTTGAATTATTGTGGGAAGAAATGCTACATGACTTTATAACTTCCTGTTTCCAACAAAGTAAATGTACTAAAAACATGAATAAAAGAATACAATCCAGACACATGTGGATTATTAGATACTCAGATGAATCAACTCTTTTCAACCCAGAGGAACAAGGTGTCTGCTGCCTCTGCTGTGTTTCCCTCAACAGCTCAGGCAGGGTGCTCAGGGAGCTTTGTTCTGGATATTCAATCATGAATATTTCATTTTTCCTATATTTACTTTTTACTGGTCTCTGCTGAGGTTTCCTGCTGGTTCCTTCCCAAACACCTCCTGCAAAGAGCAAATCCACCAGACGGAGTGTTTGACAGTTTGTTTATGTTGCAGCAACTTAAGGACAATCCAGCCCGTCTCAGCAAGACTGTAAGGCATGAAAGTCCACAGTGCAGTGTGATTCCAGCCAGCTGATATGCTGTTTATCAGAAGTAAAAACTAAACATAAGGATGTCAAGTCACACAGAATAGAAACAGATACTCTGCAGACAAAAGAATGTTTAGAGTGCTTCCTGCTTTCAGAGCATGTGTAGAGGGAAGTTGGAAGAAGAGAAACAGATCCTGCTGAGCACAGGGAAGCATTAAGCTGGATTTATACTTTGCAAAAAGTTAAGAAATCTGCTCTTGCTCACGTAGTTACGAGACCTTGTTTTCCATATGAACATACAGTATACTTCATGAAAAACTGCAGCACAAGAACTACTAGGAGGCTCCTCCCACTTTCCACACAGAGTTAGAATGGATTTTATCCTACAAGGGTCTCCACTTTCCTGTCTGTATAGATCTTTGCTTTCCTTACTGCTACCAGGTATACCAACACAGCCACTGTGAGCTGTCTGTGTCATGGTTTGTCAGTTTTTCACCTTGGTTTTCCTTGTGTTTCTATGTTCCCCAGTGTGTATCTGCCCAGCTGCTCCTTATTAGTCTGATTGTCACCCTCGTGTTTCCCACCAGGTGTTTTCAGTTCATCAATTAGTTGTCAGTGTATTTAAGTCCTGTCTTGTCTCAGTCTGAGGTTGGTTCATTGTGTTCTGTTTCCCCTGCTTGTGATCATCGTTTACCTGTAAGTTTTTGAGCTGCCTTTAGAGCAGTTTTTATTATTTAATAAATCTTTTTGTTATATTCATGGAGCCTGCCTGCACCCTGGGTTTTTTCCTGCCAAACCCTGTCATAATGAACCAACCAAGCACCCAGCCTGCAGGCATACGTTTTTCTGGTCTGCCCTTCCACAAGGCAGAGAATTTTTTTTCCTCCACCGCCTCAACTCCACACGACCAGTTTGACCTCACCTTCCTGTGAAGAACCGGTCCCTTCTCTGCCGCCGTGGGAGGACGAGGTAAAAAGCCCTCAGATCGCTGGATCACTCATGATCCTCCGGTGGTCGTCCACCAATGCAGTGAAACGACTCCTCTGCCAGCAGATTGAGGATATCTTGGCGAGGCGTCCCAATCTGCTGCTCCTGCCTGGCCACCGGAGGTCAGTGAGTACATTCGTCATCTTCTGGCCGAGCATTTGAACACCCACCGTCCCACCACTTCTGTGTTTCCTGGGCCGGCTGCTGCGCTGTCTGGGACTTTGCTGCCCGAACCGGCTGTTTGGGCTACCGATTCACCTGAGTTTGCTGGGTCACCTGTAACTGCTGGGTCATCTGAATCCGTTCCCGAGTCTCCTGAGTTGGTGGTCCCAGTCCCACAATCGGTGGTCACCGTTCCTGAGCTGGTGGTCCCAGTTCCACAGTCGGTGGTTCCGGTGGTGGTTCCAGAGTCGGTGGTCCTGGAGTTGGTGGTTCCAGTGGTCCCGGAGTTGTAGGTTCCGATGGTCCCGGAGTTGGTGGTCCCAGAGTTAGTGGCTCCGGTGGTCCCAGAGTTAGTGGCTCCAGTGGCCCTGGAGTTAGTGGCTCCGGTGGTCCCTGAGTCGGTGGTCCAGGAGTCGATGGTTCCACAATAGGTGGTTCCGGTGGTCCCAGATTCAGCGGTCTTCAAGGTTCGTGAGTCGGCTGCCATCGCCTCCACATCATCTGGGTCGGCTGCCGTCGCCTCCATGTCGCCTGGGTCGGCTGCCGTCGCCTCCATGTCGCCTGGGTCG